GGTGTTCCACATTCTATTTCTAGAGTTATATTATTGGCTGGGGTAAGAACTAACAGCTGAATTAAATGGGAGGTAACGTACTGGGGAGCAACCACTTAAGCTAACAGAAGAAAAGTGGCATGGACAACAATATCCTGGGCCTCACTGCTTGTTTTCACGGGCTGGGCTGAACTGAACTCTGGCTCATAAATTCCAAGAATGGCTGTTTAATGCAAGCTGGTGCAGTTAGTGCTTTTGTAAAATGGTACATCAGTTCCAATTTGCTTTGCCTATTTATGCTTCTCAATTGAAATTCAATAGCTTTTGTGAAGGTTTTAAACCTATGTTGTTGCATATAATTTTCAAAAAACACAAAGGTCTAATTCTATTACCCCACTGGCCTGCATCCTGACAGCACATACAGGTTCAGATGGAGCAGAAAAAGTTAAGCTATAAAATGGGCGGATGATGTCAGATGTAAACAAAAAGCACATGTTTTCAAAACTGAAGTCCCTGGGAGAGAGGCCCATTACAGAGACAGCAAGGTTTATTGGTGGCATTTTATTCAAAACCCCTTTTTAATCTAATGTTAACTCTTTCCTTCCACTTCCATCCTTATCTAATCTAAAAGTCTATCGTTTTATGCCTTCTATTACCTGGCACCTTAGCACCTCAGAGTGAGTTTAAATTAAGTCTGGTTATTTCCAAAGGATCACAGTATTTTATGAAGGTCTTTTCATCTAACAATAAACATTCAAGGAAATGCTGGTGCAATATTTAAAATTCTAATCAATATAAATAAATACAAAATATTTTAATTGTCAGATAATTTACACAAATTTAATTAACAGAAAAAAAACAGATGTCATCATCTTGACAATTTAATAATGAAAAGCATGGCCCTGATCCTGCAATTTGTAGAGTCCCAGAGATTTCAGTGGGACTACATGCAGGTGCAGAGGTTACACTGCAGAGTTGGAACTTACAAGTAAATGAAAAATTGGCTTCATTATTCACTGGAAATCAGAATGTTTGATCTAATTGTATGGCAAGTTTTATTGAGTTTTGATTAACTTAACCGTTACCTGAGTTAACATTAGTTAACTTAACAGGGTTAATAGCTATTAACCAAAACTCAAAATAAAAATGACATTTTGCAGCCCTCTGATTTCCTTTGCTTGCTAATGGTAAAAGGTAATTCTTTCAGTCCTACTTTATCTCAAACTGGGGTGCTCCTGTGAAGTAAAGTGTAGCGATGTATCATTAAAATGGCAAAGCAGTTCCTTTCTCTGAATGAAGATACTAAACTATGACAAGTACTTCTAAAAATGGTTTTGAGCATAGGTTCTCGTTCTCTCTCTCTCTCTCTCTCTCTCACACACACACACACACACTCTATCTAGTACATACTTATTTAGCTGAGTGATTATTAAAGTGCTTGGTATAACATGAACGTTCCTTTCCTAGTTGACTACGAGTTCAGTGACAGCTAGGAATATATTCCAGACCTACTTACTAACTTGCTTAACAGCTCAATGCAAGGTAGAAAATGTCAGTACCAACATCCGAGATTAATATTTTATTCTGATAATAATAATCCTGTTGATGTGCAACACCAACTATTAAAGTATAGCAAGGAATGGTTTACTGATGTCTGCAGGACAAAATTTGTCCCAGTGCATGAAGGAACAAGGATTCCGAAAACACAAATCACCACTGGAACTAGCTGTTCATCAATAAGATGCCCCTAATTTCCCCCTCCCACTAAACCCATGTTGAACAGGTTTTTAAAAGAGGAAATAAAGGACCAAATTTGCTTTCCTTTAAATGTTGAGAACCCTTTGAAAGGCAAGAGCGCTCATCAATTACACCTCTGCCGTGACAGCTTTTTTACACCACATCTTCACACTTTTAGAGTGCACGTCTGATGAATAAACCCTGGCAAAAGCTTTACTGCTTGCTGTACCTAAAATATAAATGAGAATGTGTTTCTTGTTATCTTGCTTCTGTTGGTTCTCCAAGAGCAAGCAGAAAACAGCTGGATTCTCAATATGCTGAGTTGTCTCTCAAAGTCCTTGAAAAGCACAAAGAATCTTGTCTTCAATAGTAAATGAGACAAACTCATTAAGAAAAACATGTATTAACTGTATACATGTATGTGTGTGGGGCATACTATACAGAAAGCATCCAACGACAAACAACAAAATCTATTTGCAGAAGTCAAACTCCGCAGCTCAGGTATGTTACTTTTGGATTTACATTAAATAACCAAAAGACATTCAACACCAATAATTATAATAAAACAGTCTTCCAAATCTCTGGATTGGTTAGGTAGACACATGGTCATGTAGGTAAGTAGCACTATGGTGCAGATCTGCATCATGAACAGAACCTAATCAGAGCACAAATACCCTGCTTTCTAGTTGCAGCCAAACAGCATTGTGCATCTTTTATCATTTGAATGTAAGTGTCTACACCAGAAAACTGTGTGAAGGTCAAGTTGGGTTTTTAATTAGCTAATCTTGATATACCCGTAATCTTTATCCTAGCATGGACATACTGCGATGCCTTTACCTTGACGGAGAGGTACACCCTGACCTGGGCAATCAAGATAAAGCATTGCAATGCATCCACACTAGGAAGTAAAAGTTGTGATTAGAGCAAAGTCCGTCAAAACACTCTGCGTAACTTTAACCCATTTTTCTAGTGTAGAAAAGCACTAAAAAGGCACTGAGCAAAAAGTGAATATCCTCAGAAAAGCCGGTGTTTAAAAAAAAAAATCTGGCTGGATCCAACCAGACAAAACACATTTTGAAACAGGCTATTGTGAGTAATTAGCTGATTTATGTTTGAACAGTGCTTTGAAAAAGTAAAGTGCTATGCAGTGGTGTTATTTCAATCATCCTCTCAGTGCCAATAGTTTTCAAACAGCCATGAGAACATCATCAGCTGCTTGCTCTACACAACCTGCACTGATCTACTTAGAGTCACACACGTGACATTTCTCAGGGAAAGCTAGCAATTTGCTATTAAATGCAAAATTTGAATATGAATAGAAATAGTTCACTACCTACACCCCCCAAAATAATTAAATTAATTGACAAGAAAAAGAGATAAGAGATGAAAATTGAGAGAGATGTTTGATGTTTAAGTTAACAACATCACTTCAATGTCATCCACCAAGGTGTGCCCTGACAACACATTCCTTGCCGTATCACTGTGCTGAAATGAAACACACAAGCTCTCTGTACTTTCACATATAGCGTATTAGAAGGTTTCTGTAAACATGATGGGATTTCATGTATTTTTGCAATGCTCAATACTGCAGATTGGATACAATGCACATCTTAGGACCTAATGGTGCAAACACTCCTTATGCATGTAGGAAATGCACCAGTCTGATAATCTATTTAAGATGAGTGGCCAGTGCCAGAGGATTCAGAGGAAGCTACAGGAAACCTCACAACAGACAATTATTCAATAATCTGCTCACACAGGGAGTTTCTTTCCAACTGCAGGTACTTAATTTCAGCTTATGCCCTGAAACATGAAGATTTATATTCTTATAAACATTTAATCTAATGTAACAATGGGTGTGTATTTATTATCCACGTAAATGTCTAATCCCTAATTAAATCCTGCTTGCCTTCAATAAAATCTTGTGACAATGAGTTCCACAAGTTAATTATGTAGTATTAAAAAAGCATATCCTTCATCAGGGCATAGTGGGTACTAGTCACTGTTGTGAGTTACTACTCCTGAAACTAAGGGCTTCTCTTCACTACTGGGGAGATCGAGGCTGCTGCAACTGATGCAGCAGGTGTCGACTTAGTGAAGACCCACTAAATTGACAGCAGAGCATCTCCCGTTGACTCAGCACAATGAAGACACCGGGGTAAGTCGACCTAAGCTACGTCGACTCCAGTTACGTTATTCACGTACCTGGAGTAGCGTAACTTAGGTCAATTTATCCCAGTAGTGAAGACAAGCCCTAAGTGTTTTACAGGACTAGGCCCCTAGATTTTTCTCCCTCCAGGGCAGGGAAGGGCACATGCTTACTTGATGTCTGCAGAGCATCATGTATGTTTACAGGACTATTTGAATGATGTTAAATAAAATAGTAACCGTGTTTTGGTTGTAATAACTGATGGAGGTATCAACTAAAATCAGTTTTAAGACATCCTGTACGGGTGATTGGAGACACACAGAGAAAAGGTTCAGGGACCTGAATGTGTAAGACTGTTGAATGCAGCTTCTCCCCGACGTACACCTGATTCAAACAGGCTGAATTCTATTGTGCCTCTAATTTGTTCTGGCAAGTAGATCTGAGGTAGGGATTGTGCAGAAGAGCTCCGTTCAGTCAATTATCTACATCCACAGTGATGACCCTGCTCCCATGCACTGCCACACTTGCAAGAGACCTTACAATTGACAATATACAATTGCAACGCTACTTATAGGAAAACTTGTGGGTGTTGTTGGGAATGTGCATTTTCCCAATGAGAGATTTGCAAATGCCGGTTAATGCTCACATTCTCTCAATTTTAACCAAAGTTCAAAGAATGTGCTTTAAGGTTCATTATCTCTCCAAAGGGATGTTATTAAAATGTCACCACATGCTGTGGAGCCTTGTAATCCACTGTGTCTTATTTTTACTTAATACATGGACCCTATAAACACCTTCCTCCAACCTTTTCTCTATACTTCTTCTCTAAACACAAATATCACAGCCCTCCCCATTCTCCAAGTCTCTCTTCCCCCAGCAATAACACAACCCCAACCTTCAGTAGCACTTCCAGTGGGCATAGCAGGTCACTGCTGGTGTCAGAATTATTGATTATAAATTGCTTATTACCTTTTATATGCATCACCATCTGCGCACATACATTATTCACCCTTCTCTATCTACATCACACTTGAATCCCAGGCTTTAATTCTTTTCTTTCCTGTAGCAGCTGGCATATTCTTACAACACACCAATCTCTGGTAAAACTTTCCGTTAGCCAGGGTGACTCACTTACCTTGTCTCTGGATTGTAGCCCAATATGTAGAAAAATGAATCCACTCGGGCTTTAAACTCTCTAGCAGCAAATATGTCAGAGAAATGGGAGATATTACACTTCCCTCTGAAAGGAAGAGAACAAATGGTATTAGAATCCCATGCTGGACAACATTCATTTAGATAAGCATCACTCCACTTCGGAAATCAGTCAAGGGATGCATTGTGCTCTTGCAGGTGCCCAAACTTCATAATAATGCAAGATCCAACCCTACTATCAGTGACTTCCAGGCAAATTCTCCCATTAACTTCAATGAGAAACATCCATTAATCTTATTCAGTCAGGACCCTCTCCAGGGCAGTCACAAATTAACAGGATATACCTTTAAACAGAAAATCTGCCCCAAACTGCAATGTTTAAAACGTTGAACATCCCTGCTCCAGCCCCTGGCTTTAATCTCTCTTTTTTCTTTTTAATAACTAACTGTTTAAAGCCGATGTACAAAATTCTACTATTAATTAACTAAGAGGTGTGTTGTTGTATTTTTTTAATGGGCGAGTAAAATGACAGTCTTAATCACCACCCTGATGAAACTGGTGAGTACACTTGGTGTTTTATCTAATAAATTTTCAAGACAACCTCGTAAGTATGCTTTAACAATTTTCAGATCAAAAACAAATTAATTGGCTAAGTATTTTTAGCAAGATTGCACTGTAAACAATATAAAATAATAGAAGTTGCAACAACACAATTACTTTTTCATCAGGAATAACAACACCTAGCAAAGGTTTTGTTCCATCTGCCCACGGAAGCCTCTAGATTGGCCTCTAATATATAATACGCCCAGTATAAAACCCTGCTTCCCATTACCTCCTTAAGGATAGAAAAGTTAAGAAATTTCTTTATAAATTTTGCTATACAAAGCACTCATCTTTTGTTCTCATTTAGGATAGCCACAAAGGGAATTATGCTGCAAAATGTTTCACTCTCTGCTGTCTTGCTCATGGGTTTGTTAAACTGTTTAGTTCACAGAAGCTGCTGTAAACATTCTGTAAAACACTGCACAGCAATTTACAGCAGTGAAGTAAATCAGACAGCTCAGAAGAGGGCATCAGAGGAAAATGGCTAATCAACTAGAGAGACTTACACTTATCACAGGTATTTGTGGGTAGATGTTTGCAGTTGTATTTTACCTGCAAGTGGAGACTACCGAGACTAGTGAATCACAAGACTACCTTTCTTTTCAGCAGTTAAATATCTTTAACATTAAGGCCTTGGCTACACTCAGGAATTCCCAGCGCTGCCGTGGCAGCGCTGTGAAGCGCGAGTGTAGTCGCGCCGCCAGCGCTGTGAGAGCGCTCTTGCAGCGCTGTAAGTACTCCACCTCTCCGAGGGGAGTAGCGTGCAGCGTTGCAGGCTCTGATTACACTGGCGCTTTACAGCGCTGTACTCGCTGCGCTCGGGGGGGGGGAGGGGCATTTTCACACCCCTGAGCGCAGCAAGTTGCAGCGCTGTACAGCGCCAGTGTAGCCAAGGCCCAAAAGAACGGAAACAAGCATTTCCTTCCATTTGTGAGTGGACTGACCATTCATTCCTCTAGATGGACCATCACTAGTAACAATAATACTCTGGATTTAATTTCATCCAAGGATCTCAAAGCTCTTCACAAACATTAACTAAGCCTCATAAAAGCGCTGAGGTTGGCAAGTGCTATTTTACCTACTGTATTCTGGGCTCTTTTGCCTATTTTTGGTCTCTGTAAAGACAGTAGCAATGTTTTACACTTGAAAGGCTGCAGTGGAAAACTTATCAGGACACTAATCGGTTTCCTTCTGCAACCCTTTCATGGGCAAAGCGCTTCTGAAAGTTCCATCAACCAAATGTGGCTAAGAATGGCAATTTTTTTCTGCATCAAGCTCTTTACCCACATAGGCTACTGCAAAGCCAAAAATGACTAGGGGACCAGTCCTGCAATTTTACTCTCATGAATATTCTCCAAGAAGTCAACAGGACTACTCATGTGAGGAGGAATTACATAATCAGACACTAGGATTGCCTAATTCTCAGCTTGTGCAGCCAGAGGCAAAGCAAACATTTATTTCTTGGTCAGCTGTCGTCAGACTGCAATGCAAGGTTAAAATCCTCTGCAGTTTAAATCAAACCTGTAGCCTTCTTGAAGCATTGACAATCCTGTTCACTGCTCATTTCATCTTAATTTCTTGAAAAGAGAGCTAAGGAATTAAAAATTGGTGGTATTTGTTTTCATCTTTCACAGGAAATTTTGATCAGATAATTTTAAGGCAGATCAATTTTTTTTAAACTTTCCTTTGAATAATGCCCCAAGACAATTCACCTGGTACAGTAAATAATAACTAAAATCAAGAATATGCATTTATCCAGACACATAAAAGCAATACAATATTTTGATCATGGAATTTTATGCAGGTAATATTAAGTATTGCTACTGAAGTAAAAGACAATTGTGTTTATTATACACTTACATAGTGTTCCATAAGAACTTTCCAATTAAAGTTTTCTATTGATCAGAGCAGTGGACTGGGAGCTGGGATACTTGGTTATATTTCCTACTGTGTCATCAGCTTTCTGTGTAGTCATGGACGGCCATCTGCATGGAGGGCATGGTAATGTTCTAATTTATTAAATTAAATTTAAAATTAATCTTTTTTCTGGACTTCCCAATGTATCTAGTCTTTTCTATTTTGTCATTTAGGTTGTCAGATCATCAGGGAAGTGACACTCCTTATATCTGTGTCTTGTAGGCAGCTGTGAAAATTACTGGCACATAGTAAATGCTACTAGCTAGAGGAGAATGAGTGGAAAGGATGCGCTCAGTTCTTTGCTATGTAAACAAATACGTTCCTGAACGTCAACATTTAGAAATGTAACTTGAAGCTCTGTTTCATTTTTCAAAAGCGCTAGTTTTAAAATACAACTGATAAACATTCATATAAGAATTGCCACAAATGGAAGAGGTAAGCCATAATGGAAATAAAACTAAGCCAACAGGAAGTGTACTCTAAAGAGTAATTTAAAATATTTTCATGGTGAATATTTTCTGAATCCCATCGATGGTATATCAGTCTTTTGTCTCAAATTAATCTATGAACTTTCTGTGTTTTATGTTGCCTCCAATTTGTTCTGGGTTTTATTTTATTTATTTATTTTTAAATAGAGGGGGAAGAGAATGAGAACACAAAAGAACCTACAATACTCTCAGGGGAAATTCCATACACATGTTTCAGTTTCTCAGTGTCTAAGATGACAATTAAATTTACAAGCCTGGTTTCAACAATCCAGCCAGCCTCACATTAGCTAGCTCTTCTCTCCAAGTATGTCAATTTAATATGGGAAAGCTACCTTCCTTGAGACACAAAAAACACTCTGGAGTTTCAGGAAGATTACAGCACACCACTGGAATGTTCTGAGTTTATCTAAAATCCTGTAATAAGTCAAATAAAAGATTTTTTTCACCTCCCCTACAGCACAAGTTGCAGCTAATTTGCCTTGAAGTAAAAGGCTTCAGAGAAGTGGCTTTGAACAAAGAAAATGTCTCCAGATGGTTTCACTGAAACACCATCTGAGCATTATTATCAGGGAGATTATTCAGTTCACATTTTGACAATATCCATGCACTCCTTCAGCAAGCTGAAAACTCGATGGATGCCAGTAAAAATAATGCCTTAGTATTTCTATCAGAAAACATTTGTAAGTAATGGTGTCTCCCCCTTTGCATGGTCAAAGGTTAGCCACTTAAGTTAAAAACTAACTGGGCAAAGAGAGCAGAAGGGCAGAGAACAGAGAACAATACAGGGGTCCGTTACCTCCTCTGTTTATACAGCTAGCTTTTAATGGAGCTCTCAACTGAGCTACAATGATTTCTGCCTCAGAGCAAAAGTCTTTAATGCAATTTATCAGGGCTGCACTAACAGTCATTTTGCAAAGGGAGGTTATTGTTAATGGTGAAATGAAACAGAGAGGAAGGGAGGGTACCATTCCTACAATAAGTAGCAATAATCTAAATTTGCAATGATGGGAAACAATATCTTCTGAACACCATAGATTAGCTGAGATTAAAATGAGATTTTTAGAATCACAGCTTCTTTTCAAATTAGAACAGATAACACAAGTTAATTATTGCATGTGGTGAGAAGGAGCCTGAGCAGTATGCTAATGCTCCCCAAACAGAAAAGGACAAAAGACAGCTCTCCTCCTATGTTCTAAGATTTTCAGTGCTATTTTTCCTCCCTGCCAAGCCTGCTGTGGGATGCTGCACCAGGTCTTCTGTCACTTACCTGAGGGCAGCAGCATGATAAGTGTCAACATAATCTGAAATGAAGAGCTCTCGATTCTTGATCACTGGATCTGTAATAACAAGCTCTCGTCCAGAGTCTGTGAAAAGAGAACACCACATTAGCTGCAGAGTCCCAAAGCATCTACCTCTGCAGATTCACAGGCACTTTGTATGTTATACCAACATTAAAAATATATTTTTAAAATAGGGTTTTCTGTGGCACTCGCTACAATAATACTGAGCAACTCACAAATATTAACGGATTTGTGCTCCCCGTTTGGTATGGAAATACTATTAGCCCCATTTTATACAAGGGCTGCTGACAGGAGCTTTCCCTTTGTACCCCTTAAGAAGTGTGCAGGAAGGGAACAGCTCTTTTGGGCACGACAGGAGAAAGTACCTTGTGTACAGAGCAAGCACCTTCTTCTGTAACCTCTCATCCCCACCTGCTCTGTCTGTTAGACAGTCTGTTCTATACGGTTTTACATGCCGGAGTTTTCTAAAATTTTATACATATCTGTGTGCTGAAAGTCAGTGGTGTCATTTTGGCTGTGAAGAACATTTGTCGTCATATTTTAAAATAGGTAGTTAAAATCCAAAATGCAACCTTGACTATCGAGTCATCAATGATGCCTTTAATAATCCCTACTTAAGAACATAAAAATATTTTTATACGCACAGACGATGCTACTTAATAGAAGGCATAAAGCTATGAAAAATGTGGGCTTTGGCCTTGTGCACATATTTCCTGGGTGAGAGTGAATCAGTGAGAGTGAATCATTAGACTCATGCAGATTTTACTACAGCACATACAAAAACGACCCTCCTAACATCACCATATAGTCATAGATTTATACCACTATATGCCAATCTATTTGGATACTTAAATATGAATGGCAGTGTTCCATTTTTAAAGCATGTATTTTTTTTTTTTTTTTTTTTTTTTTTGTAGATCACAATTCACCTCCAAAGGTTTTCAGTGTTTTTGAGGCTGCCCCAAGGAAATTTCCAGCTAGGAAGAGTGGAATCAAGTTTTATGGCTCTCTTGAAGCCCAGGCAAAAATGATCCTGGAAGATTTAAGAATTCCTGTCTCTGCCACTATTAGGAAAATCAACAGTTTATTATTGTGCAGCTGGGATGGGACGTCAGAGGATGGAGCACTCGACAATTGCTCTGTTCTGTTCATTCCCTCTGAAGCATTTGGCATCGGCCGCTGTCGGAAGACAGGACACTGGGCTAGATGGACCATTGGTCTGACCCAGTATGGCCGTTCCTATTTAGTCCAAAAATTGGTGGGTGGAAGAGAGGGGAAAGAATCAGTTAGCAACGCTTCCAATGAAACACTAACTGTCGTACTATGTGACAGCGAGTACTAATACACATTAAGATAAGGCTAAATAACCACTCTTTGGCAAAAATTTAGATCTAATACAGTATGTCAGAGGCATCCAAGAGTAAAGGGGCTACATGATTTATCCTTAACGCAACTTGATCTCATAAATGATAATTTGTATAGTCCAAAAAAACCTCAAGGGATGCCAATAACTTTACCCATCTGCTGTCTCCAAGTACAACATTAATACATACAGTACAGTAAATCATCATAACTGAGATGCAGCAGATTATAGCTGTGGTTAGGGCCCATATGCTGCTAAAATGAACCCGAGCATAGATATTAAAGGACCTCATCATCTGCATTCTAATGTCTGGTTCACACTGACAGTTCTTATCTCACATCCCTATGCATAAACATTGATCTTGTTTTCCACAGACTGGTAAGCACCCCTTGACTCCAGTAAATGTCCATGTAAAAGCAAGTTAAGACTGACACTACAGAGTATGACTCACCGTTCTCGTTGTGTCGGTCCTGAACCAAATGTTGATAGACTGAATCTGGGACTTCCGACTGGCGATAGTACCATTTGACATTCATAAGGAGATGGTCCCGTTTGCTCTGAAAAAGAAGGTCTAAGGCATTACTGAAAAGGAATTGAGATCATGGCTGTCACACCCATCTTCCAAAGCACAGAACTCAAGTACCACTGAACAAAATCTGAGGTAAGGAGAATCAAAAGCAGAAAAATATTCATATAATGTAAAAAACCCCAAGGGCAGTGGTACTTGTAGCACAGAAGGCCTTCATCCTTAATAAGTCTAAAGAGAACAAGTGACATCCATTTCCATGCAACGTTAGGTGCGCTTGCTTGACCAGCCAACACCAACCCTGGAAGTGGAGAGTCGGCAGCATCCTTGGGTTCTCACTGCACTCAAGCAATCTTCTTACCCCTCAACTTCCAACAAATCCAAATTAATGTTAGCCAGATACAGAGGAGCTGCAATTAGCTCCTTCTTGGCAGCAAAAAGAAGAGAAACCCAATGGGGCCATTTTTGGACAGCAGACTTCCCACAAGCCTTCCCAATGAGCCACTGCTTTGCCCATCACGTTGAGGGCTCTTTGTTACATTCTTGTCTGGCAACAAAGATGTCACACTTTAAACCCAACATTTGCAGGCTCTGGATATTCAAGTTCTTTATAAGGGGAGAGATTGAGGCTCACCAGAGAATCTAACCACTGACTTGCTATGTCTATATTTGTGAATCCCACCCCCAGTTACCAACTTCTCAACAGGAAGTTAAAATGTAAATACCTCTCACCAAGAGAATAATTTGTAGATAAAGAAAATTATGACATGTATAGAATCTTTGCTTTAATGTGTCTCTGAATCCCTCAATAGCCAATTCTTGCTGCTACTCCAGAACACTTAAGGAAACACAGGAAGGCCTAAAGGGAAATTAACATTCCTTCAGAATGAGGCAACTGTAAGCACAGAATGTTTATTTTTTACACTGCAATTCTCCTACCAATTCTAGACCACCCTTCAAATATTTAAATTTAGATTAAAAATATTTATGGATTGTTTAGTCTAAGTTCTTGCTGTCCCTCCTCCCCTTTAGCCTGTTATAACAATGTCTATTATTCTTATTTAATCAAAAACACACAACTTACAATTAAACACTGTTCTTTAAGCCTCTGGTTAAAAAACACATGTAGTACCATAAAAGGGCCAGCTAGTGGCAGCATTGTGTCAAAAAAAGATCTCCAAACACTATTACTACCACGTGTGCTGTATACTACTATGACTTAAAAACAGTTCAGAAAAACAAACTGCAATGAAAATGTGTCCAAGCTTTAGAGAAGAACCTGCGCTTCGTTAAAGATTTAGAGAAATAACGTAAAAGATAAATGACTTGTCTGATGTGCCAGGTTCGTTGGCTACCATCACTATCTCCGACAGTACCTTAAGTCAGCCCAATCTTTTTAAATCTCAGAGACATTTCATAGACAGAAAGGATAACTGTGGGTTTAAAGGTTTTGCTCTCCTCTTAATGCAAGTGCATAAATTCTCTTAATGGTAATGAGTTACATGCAAGCACTGGGGGAAAGAAAGCTTACCAGCCAGTAACTGCAGTTCTTTGGAAGAGTTGCCTCTGCATATTCCCAGGTGGGGAAATGTGCTCTCCCAGCACTGCAAACCTTTAGAAACTCTAGGAAAGCAGTGCTTCCTGTGTCCTCACCACCACTCCTCACAACACCGAAAGCTCAGACTGGAGGTCACAAGAGGCCACATGGTCTCTAACCACCTCAGTTCCTTTCACTAAACTCCAATGTCTTTCAGAGAGTAGAACTCCCACGATAAGAGGGAAGGTGCATGGGGAGCATGAAGATGCAGAAGCAACGCTCTCAAAGAACAAAACTACAATGTCCTCAAGGTGACCTCTCCATGTTCCCATTTGTAGGGTCTAGCAAGCACCACAACTCCCAAGAAGGAAGCATGAGGATTTTTAATTAAACAAAGATTGCAAAACTGCTCTCCCAAACCAAACCTCCACTACAGATGCCCAGTCAAGAGAAGAGTGCTGAGTAAATATGAGAAAAGAGCTTCAGGTAGAAGGCCTACAGATTTCTACAATGATAATGTTATGAAAGCAGGCTCTCAATGCCATCTTAGCCCTGGCAGAGTGAGCTCTAATAACCTGAGATACTGACACCATAGAAAATGCATGTTTCAATGCATCACCTAATCTGATTAGGTATGAACTGATTGCAGAAGCAAAAACTTCTAATGATTTCCCAAATACGTTAGGACAATCCAAAATCAAAACTCAAACTCTTCTGAATATCTAGGATAGGTAGGCTAGTTTCCCACTGGTAAGAAGGTAGTTTGGGGAGATTAGTGGTCCGCTTTGAGTGGAACACTAGATGCTACTTTAGGTAAAAAATTTGGATGCAACAAAGGAGAACTTTCTCCTCTATGGAAGACCATGAATGCGTTTGCAGAGGGAAAGAACAGCAACCAAAGACCGCCACTCGCTTTTCTTGCAGATCTAATTAAAAATGCTGTTGTGAGAGAGGCAGAAGACAGAGCATTCAAAAGGTGCCTCCATTAACTGTCTCAGCCCCATTGAGATCTCACATGGGACAGGTTCTCTGACTGATGGAGATATTAAACAGTCTTTTGAGGGATCCTGCAACTGTCAGATGGCTGATGATTTTACAGTTGTCATTTGGTGGTAATGCAGGTAAGTGCTCCTTGATTGAGGACAAGGACAGACTGAGACAAGATACCTTGGGAATAACGTAGTTCAAAATCAATTAAACGAGGGCAGAAAATGGAGACAGGCTATTTGCTGCCCACAGAGAAAACAGTTTCCATCTGGGGGAAACAACACATTAGCATGAAAGCTTTTATTGGATTGCAGCAAGACAATCCACACTCTTGCAGAACATGCTAGATCATAAATAGTCAGTGTCTCACGAGCCAAGCTCTGAGGTGAAAAGACCACAGATAGAGAAGCAGAATGGATTAGAACTCAGACTATCTAGTGATGGTACTCATGAGAGCCAGGAGTTCCAAGTATTACTCTCATCCAGCCCAAGCTGGAATGACAAGAATGAACGAGACACCTTGTCCTGTCTAATCACCAAAACAAGTAATGGAATCAGTGGGAAAGTATTTAGCAGATCTATGCTCTAGTCCAACAGAAGCAAACTTGTCATCAGGTTTCTGTCCATCTTTCCTCTGGAGCAAAACAGAAGACACTGTACTTCTGTTTCCTTCAGAGACAGAGAGAGATCTCTTTGGAAAGACATTCCCGCCTACAGGCCAAGATGATCCAACTGCTTCACAGACTGCTCTGCTCATGTAGTCTGCAACTTAACTTGCCCAAGGACCTGCTTTCTTTGCCAGCAAGGTGGAAGAGCCACAGGATTAGTTCAATGAGTCAGACAAGTGTCAGAGGACCATCTCCTCCCAACATAACGAATATCAGAGAACCCCCTGTTTGTTAAGAGAGTACTGCTGTTGTGTCATCCATCACCATTTGTACTACGTGGTCTCTGAATAAAGATCAAGCAGATATGAAAGCCTGTTATAGGGCCCACAGCTCTAGAACTTGATATGGAATTTGGCTTCTTATGGATTCCAGCCACCACGTTCTCACTTGTGAGTGAGTACCCAGCCTAGAATGGAGACATCTAGGATGGCTTCTGATGGAGAAGACTCCTGTCAGTACACTGTCCTTTAGTCCCCAACAAAGACAACAGTTAAGGTGTCTTCATGTCTTCTATGTTCAGAGCACAATTTACTGCCAGCCCATGAGATCCAAAATAACTCACTCCTGAGGGTTTGCCTTCAAGAGGCTCATGGCATGGCAAGTGTTGAAAAACCCTTCAGCGGAAGAACTCAGATGCAAGGGTATCAGTAAAGGTTTTCTTCTGACTATCTATGACCTAAGTAGTGGCCCAGGGATTCCCTCTAAGTCTTGACAAGTGCAAGCGTAAATCAGCTAATTGTCCACGTATGCATACAGACACATTTCCTGGTGCCTGAGGAATCCTGCCACCATGGCAAAACCCTTCGTGAATACTGCCTAGAAGCTACAATTCCTTTGTCACAACAGCTACCCAGGTAAGCCTCTAATGCCACCCTGGATGGTGCAGAAGCCAATCCTGACAGCTCCTGGAACAGGGAGTCCGAATCAGGAGTTACATTCTCCAGATCTGAAGGAGACCCACAACTGGATCACACCAGCACAAAACTGGAACTTAGCTAATGACCGAAGTGAATCAGCCTGGAGAGAGCCACACCATCACCAGAGATGGAGAGCTTGCCAGAGTTCTAAGGACACCTAACAAATACTTTGCCTTAGTTTTTAAATGAGGCTAAGGGGCAGTGGCAGGATGGCTAATGACAACAAGGATATGGAGATAGAAATTACCACATCCAAGGTGGAAGTCAAACTCCAACAGCTTAATGGGACTAAATTGGGGGGCCTGGATAATCTCTATCCTAGAATATTAAAAGAACTGGCACATGAAATTGCAAGCCCAATAGCAAGGATTTTTAATGAATCTGTAAACCTAGAGATCATACCCTATGACTGGAGAATTGCCAATATAGTTCCTAGTTTTAAGAAAGGGGGAAAATGTGATCCAGGAAACTACAGGCCTGTTAATTTGACCTCAATTGTATGCTAGGACTTGGAACAAATTTTGAAAGAGAAAGTAGTTAAGGATATAGAGGTGAACGGTAACTGGGATAAAATACAACATGGTTTCACAAAAAGTAGATCGTGCCACACCAGCCTGAAATCCTTTTCTGAGAATGTTTCTAGACAAAGGAAATGCAGTAGATCTAATTTACCTGGATTTCAGCAAGCCATCTGATATAGTTCCACATTGGAAATTATTAGTTAAATCGGAAAAGATGGGGATTAATGAGAATTGAAAGGTGAATAAGAAACTGGTTAATAAAGGGGTGACTACAATGGGTCATGCTGAAAAAAGAACTGTCAGGCTGGAGGGAGGTTACTAGTGGAGTGCCTCAGGGATTAGTCTTGTGAACAATTTTATTTAACATTTGTATTACTGACCTTGGCACAAAAAGTGAGAGT